CACCACATGTCCCAAGAAAGGCAAGGATGGAATGCAGACATAAGCACATATGTTTTGAGAAAAAAAAGCCAAATTAAACCCTGACCTAAGCCAAGAACATAATTTCAACATGGACAGTGGTATTTCTGGTTTCACCCAGGCAGTTCACCAGCTGTGAGCACCTTCACAGCGCTGCAGCCAGACAGCGCAGTTTGGTGCTGTGAGAGCAGCGCTGCTTTATTCTGCCGTGCCCCCGTGTGGCTGCTGACATCAGTTCCAATCAAACCCGGGTAGAATGCTTGAGTCCCTCACAAGGAGGCACCCCTGGGGAGAAAAGTTCTTTTTTCTGTTTGTTTTTAGAATGGCACAATGGTGTCATACTAGTTAAGGATGAAGCCAAGACAAGAAACAACACTCCACTATCAAGTTTTCATTCTTGAGTGCATCTTCTGCTCTGACTACACCTCAGGTTATCACTGCTCTGAAGTTTTCACACTCCAGTGTTTAGCAAGGCTGCAGATAAGCACATGCCACTCAACCTTACCTGTATTTGGGGTTCCCTTTGCAGGGGAGAGGATGATATCATTACAGACACAGCCCTCCTCAACAATTTTCCTATTCCAAAGGGAAACCCCACAACATTTTAGAAGCTGCAATATTTAACCATAGTTTGACAGAACAAAGCACAAGCTTTTCAAGTCCTCTGCTTTGCACTGAGGCATTTCAAGCAGCGCTTTCTGTAAAACATTGGCAGTTGCCAGGAATCACTTCTCAGCAGAGGCCTTTCATGCACATCAGCAGAATTCAAGAGCACAGAATTCAAGGGACAGTGCCATTGAAGGTGAGGAGGAGAAGATTCCTCGGGGATCTTCAGGAATTCATTGATGTTCAAGAAGCGCTTGCCCACACGCTACACGCTTTCTATTTACATTCCCAAAAAGTTGCAAGACAACTCTCACCTGAGTTCTGGTCAATCCACTGCAATGAATCCATGTGGGCGTTCAAAATTTTACAGATCTGCTGAAGCTGAGCAGAAAGAGAAGGTGCAAGTCAGTTTTTAGGTAGTGTAAAAAATCAGAGTAAGAGAGCTGAAAAAAAAAGCAACTCAGTCTGCAATAGGGAAGGGAAATTTTTACATAAAATCTTCTCAGTAAAGCTACAAGGAGCATCAAGATCAATTTAACACATATCAGAAAGAGCTGGTAATTGAGATCTTTTCAGGATAGAAAAGAACGTAAGGAAAAAGTAACAGCATCTACAGAGCTAATAATACCCTTCTGAGGTTGTAACTAGAAGCAGTAGAATACCCAAGAGTGGACAAACACAGACAGAACTGTTTAAACATCCTTTGTCTCTTACTAAGAAAAAAACAAAGCTTGGATTTACCGGGTCACTTGTGTCTGCTGGGCCTCCTGATGTGTTCAGGTGCTCAATGATGTCCTTCAGATCTTGTGCCATTCGCTTTAACTGAGCATCTATGTTTTCAGCCAGTTTATAGCTGCAAAACACGTGGGAACCCAGGTTTAAAGTGAACTTCATACTTCAAGTGTACTTCAGAAGACCCTCTCCCAGTCACACCAACTTTGGGCAATCAGAATTTCATTCCACACCTTTCAACCAAGGCTGGCAGATGCCCAGGAGCAGCACCAGGGAGACATTCTACCACACAGATGAATTAACTCCTACCCTCCTCCTCTCTCAAGAAATATAAGCAATAATGCAGAGGAATTTCTGGAAGGCTTTGTCAGAATTGAAGGAACCAGCCAGAGCAGGATCTTCACGACTGATATCTCTTGAACTAGACAAACACTTCTCTTTATAACCCTGCTAGGATTCAACACTTAAGGCTTACAAGAATGCTTCAGCCACACATCAGGCATTCTGTTCTCATCACTTCTGTCACTAAATCACTAATTGTCAGAGACTATGCCAAAATTAGCAACTTTTCCCAGACAGCTAAGTAGACCAACACCCAAAGAGCTTTTCATGCTGATTAAACGGCTTACAGCAACATTCCCCCTGTTTCTAAACATGACAAAAGCCATTGATGCACCCCAACTCTACTTCATGCTCATCAACCACCACCACACGAGCCTCCTCATCACATGGTCCAAGCACACTGGGGTCTTACGTCCTCTCCCGTTCTTCATCTGCATGCTGCAAGTAGATCGTCCCGCTCTGTTCCTTCACAGACTCCTCCAGAGGGGTCAGCAAGTCTTCCAGCTCTTTCTGCTGTGACAGAATGAAGTCCAGCTCCTGATCCAGTCTGGAAAGAGAATGTGTCAATGACTCCACTGAGAGGTTACAGACACTCTACACCTGCCACACCACAAGGTGGGAAGATGCAAAAGAGACACAAAATAATCTCAAGTCTTCGTATATGGTTTCGTACCTCTTCTGATCAAGCTTCACTTTCTCTACTTCTCTGTGTAAGGAGGTAATCTGGAAACAGAAGACACTTAATTATTCTATGAAAATTCAAAAGTCAACCCATAAAAGAAGAGTAGTGGAAAGCAGAAAGCCAACACTATACATATGGTTGCTGTTCCTACAAGAAACAGTTACATGAAGATTTACAGACCCAAAACTGAGTAAGGGAGGTTTGACTTTGAAAGCTCCACCCGAAGATAACTTATGATATAGTAAACTGTCATAAGTACTAAGATGTAATTCAGGTTTTTTTTTTTTAACATGTCAGAAGTCCCACTAGATGGCTTCCTCCATCTGTAACACTTAAGGCCCTGAAGGATCTAAGAAAGCATGGTCAGGTTACACCAGATGTCACCTTACCTTCTCCCCATTCTCTATTAGCATCCGATCCCAGGCATTAACTTGTGTCGCTTGATGGAGGAAATGCTTCTCTTGGTCCTCCAGTTCCAGACTCCACTTGTTTATCAAACTCTCCAGCTGGGCATAAGTCATCACTGGAGGTGCACTGAGAGAAAGGCCAAGACAGTACAGAACAGGAGATCAAAAACCAAAATATAAACATGACAACACTCCTTTTCCCTTGCTCCACCAGACATCAGCACTGATACTGCCTCTTGCCCCAGCCAGAAAACAGTCTGTTATAACTAAATGCTCACCTGGTGGTTGTTGTGGTGGTTATGGCAGCTGTAGAAGTCCCAGCTCCAATGGCACCAGTTGTAGTTAATGGCTTAAGATTCAAGGCAAAGCCAGAAGCAGCAGTAGTGCCTGAAAAAAGGATGTTCCATCCTGAATCCAAACACTGTGCAGCAGCCAATTCAACTGCAACCTTTCTCACGAGAACAGCCAACAGAGATACAACACTAATCTCTGCATTAGTTGTATTGTAAGAAAAGTTAATGAAATCATGTACTTTGAAACTTACAGTATGCAAGAAACAGATTAATGGGGCAGAACTGAAACAGAAGTCATCTCTCCCTAACACTCCCTGTAGGTCTTTGGCCTCTCACTCCTCCCATTGAGACACCTCTCCCTCCCCACTTAGGGCAATTCTGCACCTACACAGGCAGGTTAGAGAAGGAGCAGCCAATCTATTTACATTACTTGCTCCAGACTAGAACATCAAAGCCTACAGGCCTTCCTTCACCCAAACTCCCTTTGCTGTCAACAGGGTCTCAGAAGTGCTATCCATGCATTTGGGGAGATAGAAAATGAAGATCTGGTTCTTACTAGTGGCAGTGCTTGTTGCAGCAGCTGTTGTTCCAGGAATTTTTATCCCAAACCCAGGCGTCCCAAGAGTGGCCGTCCCAGTGGAAGGGGCACCAACTGTAAACAGAAAACATTAAGAGTTTGTGTAACCCATTATATAGAGTCCCCATTAAAAGCATTCTTAAACACAAAGATTAGAATCAGCTTTGGAACTAGTGTGGCAATGCAAGCATTGTAGAGCTACCAAAAAACGAAGTTGTTAGGCTGGTATCTATGGCATCTACAAATTGCAGCTGATTAGTTAAAAGTAATCAGTGCAGCTTTAACATAAAACTTGTTATGCTGTCTAAGTTTTCAGAGATAGAACACAGCATTACCTGTGAAATAGTTACATC